TAAAGAACTCTTGAAACAATACTTCTTGGTTGAAAAACTTGCAAAACTATATTAATTTTCTGCTACTCTTTTTTTTTCTTCTCTGATTTTTCTTCTTTTCTTGGCTTGATTTGCTGTATCGAATTCTGTAGCTACCTTAAAATGTATTTCTAGTATCTTTAGTTCTGCTTTGTTATACTGCTTTTGTTAGATTTTTCTTTATTCTTAAAGTCTTTTGCTTCAGTCTAGATCCAACTTTGTCTTAATTTTGGCAGTTTGTTTTTCTTTTGCTAGGCTTCTAACTCTAGTTTTAATTTTATTTTTGTAGCTTGTTTTTTTTTGACAAACTTGCAGCTTCTTCTTTTCTTCTTTAACTTTTTTCTTTATCTCATGCTGGTTTGCTATAGTATTTTTAACAAACTCTTTGAATTGTTGTAATAATTTCTTTAAGGCTGTTTTGTTGTGCTGCCTTTGTATACTCTTTTTTTTTTTTGGAGTCTCTTGCTCCAACCTGAATCTAATTTTGACTTTATATCAGCCACTTGCATTTTCGCAGTTTGTTTTTTCTTTTGTTGAACTTGCATCTTTTTTTTTTCTTTTTTACTTTTCTTCTTGTTTCTTGTTAATTTGCTGTAGTAGTCTTGACAGATTCTTTGAATTAATATACTGTAAACTTTAGAGCTATGTTGTTGTGTTGTCTTTACTAGCTTTTTCTTTGTTCTTGAAGTCTTTTGCTCCAATCTACTTCTAGTTTTGATTTTAATTCAGTATATTGTTTTTTCTTTCTTCTAGTAATCTTTTAATTCTATTAGCTATTCTTAATTCTATTATGTAAACAACTATTTCTTCTAATATAATACAATTAATTGGGTCCTTTCCTTTTTGTATTGCTTCATGAAAACCTCATATTTTCTTTCTATAAGTGCAAGTTCTGTATACTCTAGTTCTCTTATGTTATAATACTATAATTCTTTGTAAAGTTCTACTATTCATTTCTCAGCTATTTCTTTCAGAATAAGTTTTTGACTAGCATATTCTGCTATTATTTTTTCTACTTGTGTGTTTATTATTTTATTGGTTATTGCTGTTGTTATGCTCTAGATATCTTCTGTTACTCCTTTCATACCTTTCAGTATATTATAGTTAATGTAATCTTGTTTATATATTTCTATATCTTCACATAGTTCTTCTAATTTTGTCTTTGCTACTTCTACTGTAACAGGTCTTTTTTCAAAGCATTCTGTTGATTTTTGCTTCACATGACTTGTTGTTTTCTGACTATTGTTGTTTGTTATTGTTGCTTGTTGTGATTGTTTACCATCTTTATTTATCTTTGTTATGTAGTTTTTATTACATTTTCTTTATTTATTTTTATTATATATTGTGATTCTTGTATTACCAAAACAGATCTGTAATTTAGAGTCAAGGCCGATTCTCCAAAAGTTCACAAAATGCAAAAAAATATTGATAATTTTTCACAACTTCTTCTATTTCTTTGCCGCTTCTGCTTTTTCTACTCAAGTCTCTTAAGAAATTGAGTATTTCTTGTTGTTCTCATTAGCAAAAAAAATAAACTGCTAGATATTGATTATTAACTATAGAGATATGTATTGATTGTAATTTCTTTGCTGATTTATAATGATTACAATACAAATTGATATGTAACCAAAATGAATAGTAATTGATATATAACCAATTAAAAAAAATCGATACATATCAAAACAAAGAACATCAATATATAGCTTCAAAACAATATAAATTGATTATAATAAATGATATATATTAATATAAATCGATATATACTATAATGATATAAAGTACTATATTTAGTATTGCTACAATTAATTTTGAAAAATATCAAACTAAAAAAACATAAAACTGAAAAGTAACAAAATTTTTATTTTGCCAATATGCAATATACAATATATATGATAAATGTGATATATAAAAGTTTTATACATAAAAGTTTTATACATAATATTTTTACAAATAAGAATACAGATATATAAAAAAAAAAGCAACATTAGTAACTAATACCGAACAAGTCATCCTGTTTCTCCTGCAAAAGTATGATTGAATTACTTTAGGAAAGAGATATAGTGTTGGGTTTATAACCAGAATCAAGATTGTAGAGGCATATTTATTGTCATGAGGCCTTTGCACAAATTCTTCATTAATTATCACATTTGCTGACTGTGGGCTAGGACTTCTATTATCAAAATCATTCTAATATAATAAATAAAGGTCAAATTGCTTTCTAATTATAAATCAGTTTATATTAATTTATTACAATTACTTACCAAATACTGCGCCATATGACACTCAATCCACTTTTTGCTACATATAATATTCTTCAACCTGGAATTTAATATTATCCCTTAAACCGTACAGATAAGCAGGCAAATTTGTCTGTTTAAATTTTATAATTTCATGTCTGATCTATTTTTTTTAAAAATAAAAATATGTTATAATGTTTTTTTTT